GGCATGGGGCCACGAAACGTGTGAGGGGTATTCCGGAATGGATGGCGGGGACGCATGCGAGCTGCGCCATTGGGCCCTTTAGTGGGGTTCCCTATGGGGCCACGACACGTGTGTGGTGTGCCAACGTTGGCGGCGGGGAAGCATGCGATTTGCGCCATTGGGACCTCCAGAATGGGTTCCCAGTGTGGCCGCGAAACGTGTGAGGGGTATTCCGAAATGCGTGACGGTGACGCATGCGAGCTGCGCCACTGGGATCTTATGGAGCTCGTTATGGGGCCAGGAAGCTGAATGGGTATTCAGAAACGGGTGGCGGGGTTCCATATGGGGCCACGAAACGTGTGAGGGGTGTGCCCAAGCGGGTGCTGGGGTACATGCGAACTGCGCCACTTTCTGTTGAGTTTTTGCGGGCCAAGAAGCGTGAGGGGTGTTCCGACTTGGGTGGCGGGGACGCACGCGAACTGCGCCATTGGGACTTTCGGTGTAGCTCCCTATGAGGCCACTAAACGTGTGAGGGGTGTGCCGAAATGGGTGCAGGACCGCATGCGAACTGCGCCGCTGGGACCTTCGCTAGGACTGCCCTACGGGGCCACGAAGTGTGTGAGGGGTGTGCCGACATGGGTGCGGGACCTCATGCGATCTTCGCCAGTAAGACGTTTCGTGGAGTTCCCTATGGGGCCCCGGCGTGTGTGAGGGGTGTGCCGAAATGGGTGTGGGACCGCATGTGAATTGAGCCTTTGGGACCTTTGATTGAGCTCCCTATGGGGCCACGAAGCGTGTGGGGGGTGCGCCGGCATGAACGTGCGGAGGGCAGAGGCAGGCGTGAAAGGAGGGAGAAGGGAGGAGGAGGGAGGAGGAAGGAACGCGGGGTGCTGTCTTCTCAAGACGAGGACCCAACACCACAATACGTTTGGGAAATACATCGTAGAAGAGGGTGGTGAGAACCAGAGGGAGGAGCAGGGAAGGGGCGGAGGAGGACCGAGAGGAGGAGGGCGAGGATGAGAGAGAACAGAAAGAGAGAACGAGAGAGTGGATGAGGACTACAGTAAGTCTGGGTGCATGGTCGCTGCGTTCGGAAGGGGTTCGATGTTTCTTATCTCTGGGTGTTTCCATGGTTGTTTCTCTGGCGCACCTCGTGCACCCAGGCATCCAGGCGCTTTCCGGGCCAAGAATTGATTTCGTTCCTTATTCAGCGTTTCTTATGGTAGCAGCTTGATTGCACCCTCCCGCCCCACGTACCCTCATCACAAGTCTCTGCAGGATTTTTTTTTCATCACGAGACCCCCCCCTTGAAGGACACATGTCTGCGGTGACACGGCGAGAGCCCAACCTTGAGAAGGAACCGCTTTCTCCATCCTTATAATTGCTGGGAGCTCTGTTAACGAATGTGCGTGGTGAGTGGTAATCCGACAGCCTCATTTTGAGCAGGAGACGCCCTCAATCTTCATAGCTGGTGGAAGTTCTTAAGATGAATGCGCGCGATGCAATGGCAAGAACCTACGTAACAGCCCCACATGCGTGGACATGCTGGAAGCCTGTGAGGCAAATGCGCCCCTGCTAAGGCGAGAGCCCAACTTTGAAAAGAAACCGCCCTCCATCTTTTTAGATGGTGGATGTTTTTACGACGAGTTTGCGCGGCGCTGAGGTAGGAGCCTCGCTTTAGCCCCGTGGTTGGGTGCTCTGAAGACCACATTGGCCTCGCTGGACAAGCAAGGGCCACCTCCGCCTCTGGGAGCTCCGAGAATCAGCATCGTCTAACCTTGAAGGCCTGGAGATTGGCAACGATGTCTCTACTGAGAAAAGGTGATCCTAGACTCCTGTGTTCGTGGTAGGGGAGCAGCTTCGATCCCCACCTCGGGGGGCAAGTCGGCCAGTGGGGCCACCGGCCAGAAGGGCGGGGATGGGGATCGGTGAAGCGACGACTGGAGAGGCTGGGCGATCCAGGTATTCGTTGCCCCCTCCTGCTGGCGGGCCCTCTCGCCCATCCTCACTGGGCCATGGCATATCGGCCCAACCCGGGTGGGTCGCGATGGAAGCCCTGGACAGGACGGCAATCGCCCCAACCACATACGCTTCACCATTCCAGGTGGCGCCTTCCAAACCTCCGGGGACCGGTCCCGCGAGGCCCAAAGGGAGCAGAATACATCCCCGGTTCCAGGGCTAAGTCGGCGGTGGGGGTGGCTAGGGCGGATGGGGATTGGTCAAACGATGCCCAAGTTTGGCGACCCAGGTATCCCCGCGTGTGCCGAGGAGGAGGGGGGAAGGAGGTGGAGGCAGTCTGCCGCAGACCCTGAAGCCACCAGCGACAGGGGGGGTAGGAGGAGGAGGAGGGCAGAGAGGAGGAGGAGGAGGAGGGGGAGGAAAAGGAGGAGGAGGAGGAGGAGGAGCAGAAGGAGGCAGGAGGCGGTGGGTGACCTGGGGTCGTTGGGTGACCCGGGTGCTCGTTGCCCCCACCAGCCGGCGGGCCCTTGCCGTGCTCGCCTCCGCGCCGGCGCCGTGGGGTCGCTCGCCGGGGAGCCGTGGAGGCTGAAGCAGGCGGGGCCCTCGCTCTGCTGGGCGGCGATCGCGCGCGAGGGGGTCCTGCTGATGCTGCCTCGAGGTTCGAGGATCGATGAGGATGAGGAGAAGGAGGAGGAGGAGGCGAAAGATTCGAGGATCGGGGAGGAGGAGGGGGGGATGATATCATTGTGTGTGCGGTCGTTGCACGGGCTAAACCCCTTCCCCACGTCCGGGTAATGGCTACGATCGTACACACGATTTACCTGGGTGGTGGGGCGACCCCCCCCCGCTCGAATGCTGGTGCTCGTGCGCATACTGCAGCGATCGCAGCACTCTCTTGCCCGACCTGCCCCACCCCGCCCAATGAGGGTTCCCGTTACCAGGGGCCCCGAGCACGCCCTCTCCCCCAAGAAGGACCGTTGCCGGAAACAATGGCCAAACAATCTCGATCGAGGATCGAGGGACATCGAAGAACGAGGAGGAGGACGAGGAGGAGGGAAGGATGGTAGGGAGGCTCGAGGATCGGGGGGGAGCAATGCCCTCGAGGGCCGCGGGGCTTCTCGGAAGGCCGTCCGTGGCGCGCTGCTGCCCGTCCCTGAGCCGGTCCCCCCTCCCCTCAATTTGAGGAAGAACAGGCAACAATCGGCGGAAACATGTATATACAGATTCGAAATTTCGTGCGGATCTCCGACAGTTTTCGTTCATGCAGTAGTTCCTTCCTCGATCAACGCTGCCCGTCACCCATGGCCTCGTTCGAGGGGCTCCCAGACTCTTGTGACGGGCATGGGGACGTGTCGGAGGGCCGTGGGCAGCCTCAGGCCCCTGGGGCTTTCAAGGCCGCCCCGAGGCGTGCCTGCCAAGATCGTCGAGAAGGGCCCAGGGGACTCCAAGATGATACCAAGCAGGGTCCATTGCGATTGCGATCTGATCGATCCGATTTGATATATATAGGCTGGCCGTCGAATGTCGATTTCGTGCGGATCTCCGACCGACCCGATCATCGCCCGATATTCCTTCCTCGATCCGACGCTTGCGAGGCGTTGCTGTGCATGGCCTCGTTCGATTCGAATTCGACTTCGACGATGTGTCTCGATCCGACGCACATTGTCGGAGGGCCGATGGGACTTGTCAGGCCCCTGATTGATCTTGCCTCCGCCCGACGAGGTCGTGAAGCAAGCCGAGAAGGGCCCAGGGGACTCCAAGATGATACCAAGCAGGGTCCATTGCGATTGCGATCTGATCGATCCGATTTGATATCGAGCCAGGCTGGCCGTGAATGTCGATTCGGGCTGGCCCGACCCGATTCGATCCCGATATTCGGGCGGTCCGATGCTTGCGAGGCGTTGCTGTGCATCGTGGCGCGGCCGATCCGATTCGAATTCGACTTCGTGTCGATGCGTCTCGATCCGACGCACATTCCGATTCGATCTGACTTGTCGATTCGATGTTGATTGATCTTGCCTCAAGACGACGTCTGAAGCGCCACGACTCAAGAGGGCCCCCCTTGATCAACATCAAGAGGAAAGTGTGGAAGTGCTTGAATTGGTTGAGCATGTTTGACAACAAGGGTCCCTGGCTCACGGGGGGGGGGCCCAGGATAGCCCCAAGACGGGATTGCCGCGGCATCCGCTGGCATTATGGTTCAAAGAACTGCGAGTCGGACGTTTCTGATGTCAGCCTCTTCTCGCGTTTCAGCTGGCCTCGGGGGCTCAAGTTTATCGTCATGTTTAAAAGGATTAATGTTTGAATTGTTCGAATTGTTTTGATACGTAATGGCCGCTTCCACTGAGAAGGATGATATGACCTCTGAGGAGAAGGGTGAGGAGGAGCAGATCGATGCCACAAAGGACGCCGATGCAGACCTTCAGAAGACAGGGGCTGTCCGAATTGTGATCGCGGCATCTCCGGTCGTTCTCGAAATCGCCTTGCAAGTCATCCTCGTGCCGTAGGTAAAAACAGTGGTGTGCTCCAAATCGGCGAATTATATCCGAGAGGTGTAGAGTACGAGGTCCACATGTACACGGACACGTACCAAGCGGTAAACATTGTGGCCAAGGACCCGAGTTTTTCTTGCCGGGGAATTTCGATGCTTTGGACGATGAGTTCAGGACGGAGGTGTGCCAGATGCCTTTGTCAAAGCCAAGACTTGTGGGCACCACGCTGTTTATGTCGACGCTGATCATATCATTCGAGGTCCGGAATTGCATGCTCTGGGCGAGAAGGCTTATCATCTTCATTGATCTTGGTAAGGAACATGTTCATTTACATGTCATACAAAGGGGAAAGGACACTTGCCCTTCCGGCAGAGAGGGGGCCGCGTCTCTACAGGCTTTCCTGCCGAAGCCCTACATGCGGCCACGCTGGTCTCGGGCAGCCTGTGCTGTCCGGTCGTTCCCTCGTCCAGGCCCTTACGGCCTGGACGAGGAAACGACAGGGGTGAAGTCCCTCTCGGTAGTCATCGGGCCGGTTTTCGCCGTCCAGGCCGTGACCGCGCTGTTTCTTCTATGGCTGGGGTGCAGGTGGCTCCTGGCCACTCCCAGCTTCGCCGACGTCATACTGAACGGGCTTGCCCTCACCTTTACCGTCCAGATCAAGGATGCCATGTACGAGAGCCTGCTGCCCAAACTATTCAAATGCCCCAACTATTCAAAGAGGAGACCGAGATCATCCGCGTGAGGAGGGAGCCCTTCCATATGGAGTGGACCACTCTGTTGGTCCCTGTGTTTTGGGCGGTGGCCAGTTTTTCGTGGGAGTCGCTCTACATGCGCTACTTTCAGCGGGTTTTGCCCGACTACAAGTGGGACGTGAAGGGGCCCTGTTACAAGTTCCTCACCAAAGCGTTGACGGCTGACTGATCGGTGAGGCTCGCAGGGTTAGCATTACAGGCGCGTTGCGCCGCCACAGTTGTTCAGCTGACAGGGGGCTGCAGCGTCTTTGACCCTCTCCTCGTCTTCCTCCTCCTGACTCGTACGGTCGACCCAGTGCTCTGCCACCTCCAGCGTGAGCGTCTGCCTCTGAATTGCGGACCACTGGCCGCGTCGTCGCCGTTGTTGTCAGGCCTCGGCGAGGTGGCCACGTGGACCGTGCCACTCGCCTGGCTCGGCGCAGAGCGCATCTCGCCGAATCCGGACACGCTCGGGAGGAGGCCTGGCGGGGCGCTCCGCCCAGCGCGGTGCTGCCGGCAGGGCCGTGTTTTGTCCCTTCTGGCGCGGGTTCTGCTCACTTTCGGGCCGTGGCTCGGACCTGGAGTTGGGCTCGGGTGCGGTGATCCTCAGAGCGCGTGTTAGCCCACTGTTCGTCTACCCCGTCCAGCACTCCTGAGATCCTGGCACTGCAGTTTTGTTCACAACTGGCGAGTCTGCTACCTTTCGGACCGCGGGACCCTCAGAGATCGATTCAGCTCGAAAAATGTCGCAGACAGATATGATCGAGGGCTCCACTCGTGATTTTTGGTTGCAGTCAGCTTTTGGCTTCTTTGGGACCACCGACAACGCGCCGCCCGCGCCCGCCCTCATCACGCCGCCCGTTCGTCTCGAAGGGTTCTTGTGGACAAGCGCACGTTGGCGATAGCACACTTTCTGAGGATCGTTAAGAGATTCATGCGTGGGCCGTCACGGAGGTGCACAGTGCACGGCGGCATTTTATTTTTAGCCGTTGCTTCAAAGAAGGGATGACCGCGTGTCTTTGTTCTGCCCTCCCTCGCCGCGCCCATCGTCCATACGCCCGATGCTGTGGCCGTTTGTAGCTTCTGCTTAGTATCCAGCTGCATGCGGCAGACCCCGATGCCCATTTGATACAAGTGCCCGACTTCGCAGCAGCGACCGTTGCCAGTGTTGGACCACAGTCGTTGTTGGTCACTGCACCCACCGTTTCCGTATTCATTCTGGGTGTTCGAAGAAATGACCCTTCCGGAAGGCCCCCATATTGTCCCAAGACGAGGTTCTGGGGGCTCTTGGGTGGGTGTTCTGCGCAGTTGGGGCCAGCTCAGGGCCTTCTGAGCGTGCCGTGGGACGCGCCATCAGCTCCAAGATACTCCCAGACCGCCTAATTGATTGACAAGATCGCCGACGTGGTTATCGAACATTCGAATATGAGTTAACGGTGGCCTCAAGAGGGCCACAAGAGAGAGCCCCCGGAGAACTTTAGCTGATCACATTCAGTAACATGTTCTGCATTTGCAGTCGAGCATGGCTCTAAGAGAGCCTCTGGGAAGGAAAGGGGGGGCGTGTCAAGGCCCGAGAGGAGATACTGCCGCTTGAAAAGGCGGCGGAGGGAGGGGGAAATGCCATGCAATCACATGAATTATATACGCTTCGCGTTACCCCACTAGCCCATCCAGAAACCATGCCCAGACGAGTTGCCCTGATCAGGGGGAGCATAATGCAGTAGCATAAGGGCTCGGTAAGACGTCGTACCCCAAGAGGGGGAGGATGAAGGAGGAGCAATCGGAGAAGGAGGAGGAGGAATAATAGGAAGAGGAGTAGGGAGATGGGGAGGGAGAGAGGGAGAGGGGGAGGCGGAGAAGAAGGAGGAGGAGGACGATGAGGAGGAGGACGAGGAGGAGGAGGGAAAGGATGAGGAATAGTCGGATGAGGACGAGGAGGAGGAGGAGGAGGGTGAGCATAAAGGCCAGAGGCCTCTTGCATACTTCTCGGAGTCTTGTCGGACTTTTGTTCGAGAGCTTCTTGGAGTCCTCTTGGGGCGTCTTGGGAGTCTCTTGGCAGTCCCGTGGGGCCTTTGGCGGCGTCTGGGAGCCTCTTGGGGGCCTCTTGGAGCCCCTTGGAAGCCTCTTGGGGTCATCTTGGGGACCAACTTGGGGGCCTCTTGGGGCCTCCTGGGCACCTCTTGGGGCCCTCTTGGGGCACCCTCGGGAGCCTCGGAGGCCGTCGTGGAGCCATCTTGGAGGCGATCGATCAAAGGAAGGGGGCCCCTGAATCAGGGTTCCCCTCTCAGAGGTCCAACATGTGGCCAAAACTTTATCACCATCAGTCATCGTGGCTTTCTCGCCGAGGCTTCTTGGGGCGTCTTGGGTGCCTCTCGCGGGCCTCTTGGAACCGCTTTGGGGCCTCTCAGAAGCCTCTTGGGCGTATCTTGGGGGCCTCTTGGGGCCTCCTGGGCACCCTCTGGGGCCTTCTTGAGGCTCCCTTGGGAGCCTGGGGGGGCATCATGGGGCCATCTTGCAGGAGATCGATCAAAGGAGGGGGGGGCTCCTCAATCAGGGTCCCCCTTCCAGGAGGCCAATATGTGTCCAAACAGTGAGGGCACGTCCAACAGGTAGCGCCGCAACTCTTATTCGGACCGCGGGGCGGGCTGACAAAAAACAGCGTGCCAGGCAAGGACAAGAAACGGGCAGGAGAGCGAGGAAAAGAGGAGTGAGAACGGGAGAGGGGGATGGAGAGAGGGCGACAGGAAAGGACAGACCGGGCCGACAGACGGACGGGGAGGGGAAGCCAAGCAGGGAAGGAGGAGGAGAGCACGTATTTTGAGTGGTGTTTAGTCGACGTTGGCGACGCCGACTTCCGTCTCGAGCGTTGGAGGCATTCTCAAACATAGCTCTGTCTCCCATGGTTGTGGTTGTATTTGTTATGTTCGTTTGCGACTTATTGACATGGTACGCTGAGCCAGCCGTGGCCCCAGTAGGGGAATTGCACTGTGCTACCTTGCCAGAGGCAGCGCCCACCCCCCGAGGATCGCGTTCGCCAAATCGGCACACCACTCGCGAGGATCGACACTTGGTGAAGCTCCAAACTCGGCACATGATCACATCTCCAAGCTCGGCACATCCCTCCCGAGGATCGTGCTCCACAGGGAGCTCCAACTGCGGTCCCAAATGAGGGAATTCGCATAGTACCACGTAGCCTACTTCGGCGCACCCCTCACGAGGATCGTGTTCCACAGGAAGCTCTAATTCCGGTCCCACTTGGGGAACTCAAATCATCACGTTGCCTGATTCGGCGCGTTCCTCGCGAGGAGCGCGATCCACGGGGAGCTCCAGTTGTAGCCCCACTGAGGACGTCCGCATAGCTTCACCTCGCCCAACACTTCGCACCCCTCGCGAGGATCGCTCATCTCGGGAAGCTCTAACTACAGCCTCAGGTGAGAAGTGCCAAGGCACTGGCTGGCCCGACTCGCCCCCCCCCTGACGAGGATTGTACAATCTAGAGACAGAGCGGTTGAATAAAGCGAAATATCTCAGATTAGAGTGTTCCTCGATTCTTGTTCAAGGAAAATATGGGGGATACCGCACCCCATGATTTCGAGAGTGTCAGTGTCCAACGAAATAGCTTTGGGCACTTCCTCGGTGCGCCCGCTGGCAGACCCTAGTATTGTTTGTAGATCAATTTTGTATTTGTTTCAATCATCTTCTCGACCAGTATGGTTCGTAGATCAATGTTTTCCTCCCTTCGTCACGCAGCTGTCCCGGCCATCGCGTGAGAAAGCGAGGGCGTCCTAGGCTTGCCTGGGGGCACAAGACCAGAATGCATGCGCTCAATGCCGTGCGCCCGCTGGCAGACCCTAGTATTGTTTGTAGATCAATTTTCATCTTTTTTCAATCATCTTCTCGACCAGTATGGTTCGTAGATCAATGTTTTCCATCCTTCGTCACGCAGCTGTCCCGGCCATCGCGTGAGAAAGCGAGGGCGTCCTAGGCTTGCCTGGGGACACAAGACCAGAATGCATGCGCTCAATGCCGTGCGAGGCGACGAACGTCGTCTGTCTGCTGGTCTAGACAGAGATATCGGCTTACTCAATACGGGGGGAGCCGTTATTCGACAGTATGCTGTTTCACTCTGACTGCTCGCACTGCTGCCGATATGCCGTCACGGCACGGTTTCTGACTTGACCTGACCTGGAAGTTTCAGCTATCGTCCCAGTTGGCTATGTTGTATGGGAACAGTCGGGGCTCCAGACAATGCAAATGTGCCCGAAAAAGACAGAGTAGACTTCAGGAGAGCCCCAAGGGGCTCCAAAAGGCTCCCAAGAGGGCCTGACGACGCCCCGGGAGACATTCGCAACGGCCCCAATAGCCCAGACAACCCCAGATGGCGAAATACTCTCCCAAATGTTTATTGGTGTAGTTTTTCAGACGTCTCCTCAGCTCTCTGGGGACAGCCTATGAACACGGCTCGGGATCTTCTTCAAGACTCGTAATGTATTATCGTGTGGGTGTCCATGAGGCGTTTATGAGGAAACGTCCGTTGCACATGTGCCAGGGTAGAGCCTAAGCGTGCGCGGAGCGCGCGCGTGCATGGTTCTAGTGTGTGTATGTATAGATGTGTGTATATATATATATATATATATATATATATATATACACATAACGGCGCACCGGGTCCAGGGGCCCGGGGCCGGGACCCCGACCACAAATGTGGGCTCCGGGGGGCCAGGAGGCTCGTCGGGACTTGCCGGAGGCCTCCCCGGTCAGACAAGACGGCCCCAGAAGCGCCCAAGACGGCCCAAGAAACTTCCAAGAGGCCTCCAAGAGGGCTCCGAGATGCTGAAGATGGCCTCCAGACGTCCAAGGACGCCCCCAAGAGGCCCCAAGAAGCCTCCAACATGCGTCCCAAGAGGGCCCCTAAACGCAAAAATTGGCCCATTCCCTTCGTAAAACGTACATTTTCAACAAAGTTGTCTTTTGGGCTTTCCGACGTTACAGGACGGCCCAAGAGGCGCCCAAGACCGCCCCAAGACGGCCCAAGAAGCTTCCAAGAGGGCCCCAGGACAGCCCAAGAGGGCCCCAAGACGGCCCAAGAGGCGCCCAAGATGGCCCAAGAGGGCCCCAAGACGGGCCCAAGAGGGGGCCCAGAGGGGGACCACGAACCGCAAGCTCGAGCCTTCCGCCCCAAGAGGCCGC